ATTCTCCTGCCTCAGCCTCCTGAGTAGCTGGGACTACAGGCGCCCGCCACCTTGCCCAGATAATTTTTTGTATTTTTAGTAGAGATGGGGTTTTCACTGTGTTAGCCAGGATGGTCCCAATTTTCTGACCTCGTGATCCGCCCGCCTCGGCCTCTCAAAGTGCTGGGATTACAGGCTTGAGCCACCGCGCCTGGCCTATTGCCATAATTTCTATTGGGCTGGGTTCTGGATGAGCCCAGGCTCTCCTTTAGGCCCTCCTCCTGCTCTCCTCTTCACTCACCACTATTTCTTCTTCAAAGACCTTTTCACCTTCATTCACCTTCTGCAGCTCAGTGTGTTCATATTCGTATGATGGGTCCCCCATGAAGCGGCCCTTCACCACAGACGACTGTGCCACCATCTCCTCTGTGGCAGGGGGCAAGAGGCTCCACTCTGTGCAGTTCAGGCTGCCAACAATATTCACATCACTCCTGGATTCAAACTCCCCTGCTCACCCACTATTCCTATTACTTTCCCTTCTCTCTAGTGGGTTAGGGCCAGGAAAAGCTGTTGAAATGGCCACCTTTCCTCCCAATGCTGTCATGAGACCATCAGAAGCCCCAAGTGCTGACTGGGCATGGTGACTCATGCCTGTAATCCCAGCACTTTGGGAGGCTGAGGTGAGCGGATCACTTGAGGTCAGGACTTCAAGACCAGCCTGGCCAACATGGTGAAACCCCGTCTCTTCTAAAAATACAAAAATTAGTGGGGCATGGTGGCACATGCCTGTAGTCCCAGCTACTGAGGAGGCTGAGGCAGAAGAATCGCTTGAACCAGGGAGGCGGACGTTGCAGTGAACCAAGATTTCCCCAGCCTGGGTGACAGAGTGAGACTCCGTCTCAAAAAAAGAAAAAAGAAGCCCCAAGTGCCAATGGTGAGCACACCCCTCATATGTGATAAGCAGATTCAATTTCATTCATTCCATGTATGCTGAAATTAAATGAGCCTCTTCCTAGGTATCCAGACTATGAAATTCCAGATGAGTTTCTGGTAGCTGAACTTTCCTCAGTTGTGTGGACCCATGTTTTGGTGGGCCCTAAATTCATGCTCAGCCTGCCTACTGAGTCAACAGCACAACCATTTCGTCCCATTTCTCAGAAATGCCTAGCCTATGCTCAAGGACTTCTCCTTTGAGCCCTTCGGGAGCACTCACCAGGCCCACCCAGTCCCTTCTTTCTCACTTCCTGCTGCTGGGAGAGGAGGTCCTTCCCACTCCTCTCAAATATACCCTGGGCCTAGGTCCCCAGTCTGGCCTCTGCTCATCTTCCTGCCCTTCACTCTCCACCAGTTCCCCCTCAACATAAAAACTGCTCAGCTGGCCAGGCACGGTGGCTCATGCTTGTACTCCCAGTACTTTGGGAGGCTGAAGTGGGCAGATCACTCAAGACCAGCCTGGCCAACATGGTGAAACCCTGTCTCTACTAAAAATACAAAAAAATTAGCCAGGCCTGGTGGCAGGTGCCTGTAATCCCAGCTATTCGGGAGGCCAAGGCAAGAGAATCGCTCAAACCCAGGAGGCAGAGGTTGCAGTGAGCCGAGATCATGCCATTGCAATTTGGCCTGGGCAGCAAGAGCAAAACTCCGTCTCAAAAAAACAAAAAAAAAACAAAAACAAAACAAAAAAACTACTCAGCCTATTAAAACAGCAGCCCCCCCCAAATCCATGTCCTTCTAGAAAATGCTGTTCCTGTCCTTCCCTCCCTCTTTCCCAACTCTCAACAATAATCTGAGAACAACAATTGCCCTGTAGGGGCCTTTCCTCCCCATCCTTTTCACTCTTCAGCCCACTATGCCATGATTTCTGCCCCCACCACTTCAAGAAACTGCTTGGGAGAAGGCCATCCATGACACCTAACAGCCAACAAATGCATCTCCATCCAGTTCTATTTCCTCTGACATCTTCCTTCCTCCTTCTCCAGGGTCTTAAGTATTTCCAGGGACCTATTCTCACTCTTCTTTTCTTTTTGCAGTCTTACCCACCTGCCTTCCAGAGTCCCAGCTACTACCTAGTCCGTATCCAGAATCCAACCACTTCCAAAGCTCCCACCCTGGCCCAAGCCACCATTCCCTACTGTCTAGATATTACCATAGACTCCTAACTAGTCTTCCTGCCTCCACATCTATTCCGCCTTTGGACTAGTCCCCACCCAACTGTTCACACCTAAGCCGTCATGTCACTCCTCTGCGGAACCTTCCAATGGCTTCCCATTAAGCCAAGCCTTACAATGCCCCACAAGGCCCTGCGTGATTGTTTCCTACCCCTCACCTCTCTGAATCTTGTGTCCTACAACACTCCCCTCACTCATTCTTCTCTAGCCACACTAGTCTCCACTGGGTTCCACAAACACACTAAGCACAAGGGCATTTGCACTTGCCTAGAATTCTCTTCCCGCGGATATTTAAGTAGTTCACTCTCTCAGTCACTTCAGGTATCTTGTCAAATGTGACCTTATCAAAGAGGCTATCCCTGACCAAACTATTTAAAATAGTACCCCATCCTGTATTCGCTTTGTGTGTGTGTGTGTGTGTGTGTGTGTGTGTGACGGAGTTTCACTCTTGTTGCCCAGGCTGGAGTGCAATGGTGTAATCTCAGCTCACTGCAACCTCTGCCTCCCAGGTTCAAGCGATTCTCCTGCCTCAACCTCCCAAGTAGCTGGGACTACAGGCTTGCAACACCACGCCCAACTAATTTTGTATTTTTAGTGGAGACAGGGTTTCTCCATGTTGGTCAGGCTGGTCTCAAACTCCCGACCTCAGGCAATCCGCCTGCCTCGGCCTCCCAAAGTGCTGGGATTACAGGCACGAGCCACTGCACCTGGCCCATCCTGTATTATCTATCCCCCTTAGCTTTTAACATCATCTGATATGTAACAGATGTGTGTGTTTAGCTATTGTCTATCTTTCCTTCCCTGTCCCCTAAACACACACTACAATGTAAGCTCCATAAAGACAAGGATTTCATTTACCACTGAGCTCCTGGTGCCTAAATCAATGCCTCACACATGACAGCACACAGTAGGTGCTCAGCAAATGCTCATAGAATAAAATGAAATGAATCCCAAATCTCTATCTTCAGTTCAACTTTTTCTTCTGTATTCCACATCTGTACTTTAATATACTTTCTTAACACCTTGTAACTCAGGTACCTCACACCAAATTCACTATGTCTTCCCTAGTCCTGCCCCTGAATTCTCTCCTACTGAGTGGTATTAGTACTTAATTTACTCAGCTGCCTAAGCTAGGAGGGGTCAGCCTTGACCTCTTCTTTATAACAATCCTTATTCAATTTCACATGTCCTGACAATTCTAGTACTTAAATCTTTCCAACCCATCCCCTCCTCTGCATTCCCTGGGCTACGTCTTCCTTTCAGGCCTCATTCATACGGACACTACAATGGACTCCTAACCACAGTGCTCACCACACTTTCAGGCCATTCTGCCCACTCTGATCTGAGCAGGCTCTTCTTGCAAGCCCCTCAGTAGCTCCCCATGTTCTATAAACAAAGTTCCATATCCTTTTGCCTCTAGAACCAGTTCTACACAACATCATACTACTGTTCTCCCAAACACTCTGAGCCCTCCCCAGCCAACAAGTTTGTCTAACTGTTCCCTAAATAAATAAGCCATGCCGGCCTATTTATTTATTTAGAGACAGGGTCTCTCTCTGTCACCCAGGCTGGAGTGCAGTGGCATGATGACGGCTCACTGCAACCTCCGCCTCGCGAGTTCAAGCAGTTCTGCCTCAGCCTCCCGAGTAGCTGGGACTACACGCGCCCGCCACTACACCAGGTTAATTTTTCGTATTTTCAGTAGAGACGGGTTTCACTGTGTTAGCCAGGATGGTCTCAGTCTTCTGACCTCGTGATCCTCCCGCCTCGGCCTCCCAAAGTGCTGGGATTACAGGCGTGAGCCACCACGCCCTGCCTTTTTTTTTTTTTTTTTTTTTTAACGGATGAGGTCTTGCTATATTGCCCAGGCTGACCGAATAGACTGCTTTATAAGGTAGTAAGCTCCCCTTTAGTCAAAAAGAGGCTGGCTGGGCGTGGTGGCTCACGCCTGTAATTCCAGCACTTTGGGAGGCCAATGTGGGTGGATTACTTGAGGCCAGGAGTTCAAGACCAGCCTAACCAACATAGTGAAACCCTGTCTCTACTAAAATTACGAAAATAAGAATAAATAAATAAATAAATAAATAAGTAACCGGGTGTAGTGGCGCGTGCCCGTAATCCCAGCTACTCGGGAGGCTGAGGCAGGAGAATCGCTTGAATCCGGGAAGCGGAGGGGGCAGTGAACCAAGATGGCGACACTGCAAACCAGTCTGGGTGATACAGCGAGACTCTGTCTCGAAACAAAAATAAATAAATAGTCTGGATGGTCCTGTATGGTAGTGACCAGGAAGTATGGTAGTGACCAGGGAATTTTCCCCAGCTCTCTCCCCATTCCGCATTCGTTCTCTACTTCCAAAAGCGCCTCCAGCTGCAGAGCAGACACCTCCATCAAAGAGCACCACCCACTCCCTCGGGCGTCTGACCCTCCTCCAAACTGAGCCAGCCTGGTTTCTTCTCCAGGTCCGCATTTTCCAGAAACCTTCCCACTGCTTCACCTGCGTTCTTGGCCCTGCCTCTCTTATAAACCCATCTGCATCTAAGTTTCTCTTGGCCTCCTCAGGCGGAGAACACGCTCTCGCAGGGCCCCGCCCTCCGGGACCTACCCCGTTCATTGCCCCGCCCCCTCAGGCTCCGCCCTAGCCTCAGATTCCGCGACTTCCCCAACCCTGCCTTTTCCCTCAACCACCTCTTGACCGTCCCCAGGCCCGCCCCACCAGGCCCTAGGCCCTTCCCAATTCCACTCATCTCAGATCCCGCCCACATCTCCCTTGGCTCCATGGGCTCTGCCCCTTTCAATTGCTACGACCCGCCCACCCCGCCCTGCCTCTAGGTAGCCACCCTCTGGGGTCCGGCGGCGGCCCCGCCCCGGGGGCCTCCTCACCTGTAGAGCGTCTTGCGCGGTGCGAGCTGGTCCTCACTCAGGCCCTGCGCGATGTAGTAATCGGCGACGAGGCCAAGGATGCGGCCCCAGAAGAGAACCCGATCGTAGCGGTAGTCGCGCTTAACCAGCATAAGAGACGTGAGCAGCGAGGCCCGACGGTCCGGGCTGAGGCCCTGCCCACTGCCGGACGCCAGCTCCAGAGACAGCAGGAGGCTGTCGGCGTCCATCAGGCCAGCGTCTCTGCTCAACGCCCGTCGAGTTGCTAGGAGAAGCTGCCTCCATGGAGACCTGAAGCTCCGCCCTTCCGCCTAGCAGTACGCTGGTTTCCACCCACCCCACCGCCTACCGCCCAGCCCTCCTCCCCACGGAGGCCTAGGCAAACATCAGCCCCCTCCCTCTTCCTTTCCAGAGTTTGGGACGGATGTCTTCAGTTGTCACGGCCACAGCATGGCTTCCCCTACTGTTAGGCTACAGTGTGGGGTTGGAGATCCTAACCCAGCCTTTTTCCATAGATATTTGGCCCTCCCTGAGCCCTTTCACATAGTCGACAGTCTTCACCGTATATGCACCTGGGTTCTGGAAAGAAAACAATACAAAACCCCAACACTGACACTAACTGTACTATTTCACCCGTCATGTCACTTCTTGACCTCAGAATGATCTGTGAAGAAAATAATTTGAGATGTCTCTTGGCTCTAATTAAGATTCTGTCATCGCCACTACCTCCACCCTCACCCCACCCCAAGCCAGGTCTTACAGATTGAGGTCCATCCATTCTCTTCCATCTTCACCAGCTGTCTTCTTTATCTACCCTTTCCATAGAAATATTCTAAGTGACAAATGAAAATCTAGGCAATGGGGCAATCTCATCAACTACCACCTTTCTCATCAACTACCAACTACCACTAACTGTTGTTTTTAGATCCAAATGGTAGCAAGAGATGAAAGGCCAGAACCTCACTGCAGCTGGAGCTTCATTCCCTGGGCTAGACTACTTCTCCACATTCACTTCTTGAATCCCCAGGCAGGGACAAACATAAACAGGTTCCTCAGCAAGCTTGTTGCCACAGGAGATGGACTTTATTGTTAATGTTGCTAATTTGATATTTTCATTTCTGGATTCCTTTGAAGAGCACTCAGGAAATCAGAATGACCTGAGCCTCAGCTGATAAATAAATGTCTAAATTACCCAGATAATTACTTTTTTGATTGTCTGGGCATCGTTGGTTTTTGGGGATTGAGACAGGGTCTCACTTTGTCACCCAGGTGGGAGTGTAGTGATGTGTGATGTCAGCTCACTGTAGCCTCAACCTCCTGGGTTCAAGTGATCTTCCTACCTCAGCCCCCCAGGTAGCCGGGACTACAGGTGCGTGCCACCACACCCAATATTTTTTGTATCTTTAGTAGAGATGGCGTTTTGCCATGTTGGCCAGGCTGGTGTTGAACTCCTGAGCTCAAGTGATCCGCCCACCTCAGCCTCCCAAAGTACTGGGATTACAGGCATAAACCACCACGCCCAGCCTTAGGCATTGCTTATGAAGGAAGGCATTGTTTTGAGATCAGCCTGACCAACATGGTGAAACCCCGTCTCTACTGAAAATACAAAACTTAGCCAGGCATAGTGGCGCACAGCTGTAATCCCAGTTACTCGGGAAGCTGGGGCAGGAGAATCGCTGGAACTGGGGAGGCAGAGACTGCAGTGAGCCAAGATCATGCTACTGCACTGCAGCCTGGGCAACGGAGCGAGCCTGTCTCAAAAAATACAACTCACTAAATAAATAAAATTAGTATTTGAGGGAGTTGATTTGGCTTAATGTGTTATCTCAAAACGATTTATGGCTCCCTGGTTTACAACTACCCCCACTCCCTTTAGGCAGACCCCTCAGCCTTTCCTTTCCCTGAGCAGGAGATATAGCTCAATCTCTCTTCTATAATAGCAGTAGACAGAAAAAGTCAAAATTCTGGCTGGTAGAATATGCTTCAAGTGGTCATAGCACAGAAAAGAGCCCAGGCATTTTGCTTTCATTGATTCCATATTTACTCAGCACCTATTGCAGGTTCCATGGCAGACACCAGAATCTGAAGCCAGAGAGGAAAATCTTACAGCTTCCTGATGCTAATACCTTTGGCAAGGCAAATCTTGGCTAAATATTTCAGAGTAAAACCACATAGGATGTGCAGTACTGTAGGCGAATCCAAGTTTCGCCACTTAGGCAAACTGCTCAATCTCCCCTGGCCCTATCTATAAAATGGGGACAATAATTCATGTACTGCAGAGTTGTTAGGGTTAGATAATGTAAGTGCTTAAAATAGTACATATACTTTTAAAAAAAGAGTGTATTTTAGGAGTACATATATGTATCTTATACTATGTACATACGTGTGAGTATATGTATACCTTTTTTTGTGTGTGTGAGATGGAGTTTCACTCTGTAACCCAGGCTGGAGTGCAGTGGCATGATCTCAGCTCACTGTAACCTCCACCTCCTGGGTTCAAGCGATTCTCCTGCCTCAGCCTCCCAAGTAGTTGGGATTACAAGTGCCCACGACCACGCCTGGCTAATTTTTTTTCTTTTTTTGAGACAGGGTCTCACTCTGTTACCCAGGCTGGAGTGCAGTGGCGTGATCT